ATTAGTAGGAGTATCCAGAGCCGGCAAATTAGGAAGTTGGTTGGTTAACTTTTTTAATTCGAATTCTAGTTCACTTATCTCTCTCTCTCGTTATCTAGCAATCGCTTTTTCCTGTTTAACTCTTCACACTTACCACGAGCATTCAATCACTTAACCAGATGATAAATCCAGGCGAAAAAGTAATAAATTGCTATTATTACTCCCAAGGCAAATCCTAAAATTGCACCAAGTGCAGCACTTTCGACACTCATCAGTGCTCCGATAATCCCAAAAAGAGCAGCAAGAGGAATATATAATCATGAGGAAATGAAGAAATTAATAACTATATCAATTATAAACCACTTGAAATGGTAGTCACGATTTCTTTCTTCTTCTAGTAATTCGGTTAATAATGTTGTGGAATTTTCCATGTTTAATATTTTTACTATTAGTTGTTTTAATTGGTAGCGGGGGAAGGATTCGAACCTCCGATCTGCGGATTATGAGCCCGCCAAGTTAGACCAACTACTCTACCCCGCGATGTTGAATTTTTTTTATAAAGGTAATTTGTATTTATTTTAAAGCAACAATAAACAACTCCATTTCCAAAATCACCTCACCCAAAGAACAAGGAACCAAAAAAAATCAGAAAGGCGAAAAATATTTTTTAGTCATAGGCGGCGGAAAAATAAAAGCATTAGTGATTACTTCGAAGAAATTTCAATCTTGGCTACTAATTCTTCCTCTCCTTGGGCTTGCTCTTGTTCTAACTTTATTTCTAAGCTAGTTATTTCAGTTTGTAGTTGGCAAAGTTGGTTAATTTCCTCAGTAGTTACTTTAGTTTGTAATCGTTCTTTAGCTTGTTGTAATTGATTTTCAATTAATTTGAAAGTTCTTTTTTGACTGGTTCCAGCTTGGCAACCAGTTAGCAAATTTTTTGGGAGATTATTATCTTCCAATTTGTTTTTGGTTGGGATTTTTAATTGTTTCAATTCCCGCTTTTTTGCTTGCAAATTAACAAATAATTTTCAGTTTTTTGTTTTTGGCCGACTCGGAGTTTTTGTTTCAAATCTGCAATTTTTTTCTCAAACAGCAACTAGATTTTACTAACCAGTAAAACACTGATAATGATTGACTTACGAAAATTTAAGCGGGATTTTGGGGGCTTGGTTAAGAGTTTCGAAAGACGGGGAGTAAGCAAAGAGTACTTACTAGTCATTAAAGAAAAATTACTTAGGCAAAATGAGTTAACTAAAACCGTTAGCGAGTTACGGCAAGAAAGAAACCAAGCCAGCCGAGAAGGGCTGCAAAACGCAGAAAAAGGCAAAAAAATTAAAGAAAAAATTGCTTCATGGGAAAGAGAGTTAAGTGAACTAGAATTCGAATTAAAAAAGTTAACCAACCAACTTCCTAATTTGCCGGCTCTGGATACTCCTACTAAT